TGTAGTTTGTCTCTGTGTTGAGGTGGATCAGTGATCCTGCAGAGTCCTGTCCTCCCTGTGATGGAGGGAGATGACGTCACTCTGCTCTGTAAAACAAAGACCACTCCCTCCAACCTCCCAGCTGCTTTCTATAAAGATGGCTCCCTCATCAGGAAGCAGCCTACAGGTCACATGACCATCCAGCATGTTTCCAGGTCTGATGAAGGCCTCTACAAGTGTGACATCAGCGGTCATGGAGAGTCTCCATCCAGCTGGATCACTGTCACAGGTGACACACTCACCTGTCTGTGTTTCTGCAGCTTTCAACATTCACAATGTGACGACAACTTAATGACTGTGTTTGCTTTATTTTAGGGGAACACACCACCACACCTCCACCTACATCCACACCTCCACCTACATCCACCTCTCCAACTGTTGCTCGAAGGTGAGTCTCAGGGTTGTTCATTTTAAAAACAGGAAGGATCATGTAGACATCATTTGGAGTTAAAGATCATTTTAAATTCCTTCTCAGCGTCTTTATTTAAATTCTTAGCCTGACTTTAATAAAGTTAATAATTTTTTCGTTTCTGTGACATCCTAATGTGTTGAAGCCTGATGATAAACGCTGACAGCTCTGTGAGTGTGGTTGGTCACTTACGCCTGTATTTCCTATATTTTATGCATCAAAAACTTTTCCCGGCTTCTCTGCTCTCTCTGTTCCTCCTGATGAACGCAAAACTGAATTTAACAACCAAAATCATATTTTTTTATTCTTTCTCCTAAAACACCCGGTAAACGTTACTTTCAAACTGAACAAAATTAATTTGTTAATGTTTTTTGTCTTTAGCAAAATTTTGTGTGAGTCACAGCAACCTGCAGTGTGTTTTCATGATAATGAAGAATCAACATCACCTCTTCATAACACCAGCTACATATACTCAGAAGCACAAGACACTTCTCTTTTGGCTAATAATAGTGTTCATGCTGTGAGAACATGTTTGCTTTGAGCTTTGTGGTGAAGCGCGTCAGTGTGGAAAAAAATGGCAACATTGTGGTCGTTTACTTTTCTTGTTCTCAGAGGCACCTCGCTGTTCTGTGTGATCGTTGGCAAAAGCTGCATAAAAGTAATTAATATCACAGCACTGTTGCAGTTGTAACTGCAATAATTAAATGTATTTTATTCTGCAGAGAGTGAAGCAGCTGCAGTTGATTCATCTGTGAGAACTGAATATGTCAGTTATTTACCAAACACCATCAGAACATGGTCCAGGTACAGCTGCTCTTTATCTTTCACTTTAGACAGAGACATGCTAGCTGCTCACCCTTTCCATTCACCATGCTAAGCTAAGCTAACCACATCAGGACTCCAGCTCAAAGCTCTGACTTGTGAATCAGATTTCTCATCCCTGTCACAAACAAAATCCCCTTTTGCATTTTGTCAGACTTGGGGACCACAATGTTTTTTTGTAGCTATTTCCATTGCTGGGTTTCAAAAATGGCAAGATGCTCTCGTGACTCATCGAGGGACGCCGCTTACCATCCAATCGGTGACATGCAGTTTGTTGACATGAGATTTTCAGTTCGCCTTGGATAGTATCACAGTTAAGTAGATACTAAAAAAGTACCTGTCAAGAGATGTATTCTGAAACACTTCTTCAGCAGAGAATCAGAGAGGAGAAACACACAGGTTTTCTTGATAGCAAGGGCAGCCACCAGAGCATTCGCACATGAGTGAGGGCTCAGAGCTCTCAAGAGTAGCAAACCTTCCAGCTCCCGTTAGACAGGAAGTAATGAGAAGTAGCACTTCCGGTAGGATGTCAAAATAAAATGAACAGTGTGCCAGAAACAAATAAAGATTGCATGAACTTATATAACATTACATAACATGAGGGGCGACTCTTAAGGAGCCAGAACATAATGAATTACAGTAGTCCAGCCTGGAAGTAATAAATGCATGAACTAGTTTTTCAACATCACTC